AGGCAGCACATGGCTTGGGCACGGACGACAGAAATGCCCATAGTGAGTAGGACTCCCACTGGAGGACCACCAAGATCACAGAACCATAGAAAGATCTGGGTTGGAAGAGACCTCAAAGCCCACCCTGTCCCAACCCCCTGCTGCAGGCAGGGTTGCCACCCACCAAATGGATCAGGGTCCCTTTCAACCTGGCTTTGAACACCTCCAGAGATGGGGCAATCACAGCTGCTCTGGGCAGGCTGTGCCAGTGCCTCGCTGCCCTCTCAGTGAAAAAATTCGTCCTAATGTCTTACCTAAATCTCCTTTATTTTAGTTCAAAGTTATAAGATGAAGCAATGTATTTCTATTCTCCTGAATGCTGTGAAGAACTGCTGCTTCACAATCCAGGGCACTAAATGGGTCAAGTGAGAGAACAGTGTTTCTCACCTTGCCACAGACACATGAGGTTACTGTTTGCTCTTCTTTAATTAATCCACTTGCTCTACTGACCCTGTGCTGCCCACCCCATCCCCTCACATTCCTCATATTAATTCATTTGTCCTTCTCTCTACCTCCTAAACTATCTTGCAAATGAACAACTAAAGGATTATCACTGTAACAACTAAGGATGGTGTCCGAAGTTCACACCTCCTGAGAAGTCCGCCAACATTACCATAGGACTGGACAGGACAGGAGCAATCCACCAGTGATGCCCACGACCAAAAATGAATGTGTCTGACAGTGGAGCACGACGGAGGGCTACTTCTGCTTCAGTTCTGTCTGGATGAAGCACAGGAACAAGGCAGTAAAGTCCTGACACTGGGTGCAGAAGCATCTGAGCATCTCAACTCCATCCCAGTACACATCCACCAATTCACCATCATACAGACCTGCTGAGAAAGAGGGTTGAACTAAGATTTCCCGGTATCAGTAAGTGCAATTGCTATACTCGGAATGCATCCCAGCTTTGAAAGCATCACTAATTTAACCCTACAGGCACAACTCTCAAAGCTGTCTCCCAGCAGCACGCATCACTGGAAGTGCTGGTGTCCCCAGCTAGTGGCAGGACAGACTGACTGGGTTAGGCTGCATCCATCCTCACTAAAGACCCTTCAAGGCAGCACCCTTTGAGGACAGACCTTAAACAAAAACCTCCAAATATCTCTGGGGCTCACACGCAGCTGCTTCTATTACACTGTCAGCATGACTGTCCGTGGGCAGCTCACTCCTGGAGGCAAAAGCTGGAGCCACTGTGTCTCTGCACACACACACAGCTAGCAGGCGGCATTCACCTTTGTGGTATGGATCCGGTGTCACTGGTTTCCCAAAATTCCCAGGCTCTTTGGCTTCACATGAAACCTCAGCAGCAGGGCTGGAAGTGGTGACGGTGGCAGCTGGCCGTGCAGAGGACCGCATTCCTCCCCCAGGAACGGGCAGCACGCATAAACCAAAAAGCCGATTTTACTGCATCTCTCACATTCTTAACAAGCCAACAAAAAACGCTGCTTTTTGTGTTTGTTTGGTTTTCTTCCTTTCTTTTTTAAAGTGGCGGGACTTTTAGGATCAATATTTGATTTTTAAATGCCAAGGTACTGTTAGATGTGTGTGGGGATGATTAATTTGAAGCACAAAATATAGAAAAATAAAAAGGAAATACATTCCCCTGCACAATACATAGGAGCTATGCAATGACTGTCCTCCTCCTCCCTGCCTAAACTCCACAGCTAAAAAGCATGCCTCCTTATCACCATCCAAGCAGTAGGTTAAAGCAGGGAGGCTGTGGGCTCACAGGACAAGGGACAGCCCCACACAGACACAGCCACCTCACACTGACAGCTACTTTGCTCCTCCTGGCTCCAGTTCTTCTCCCCAGCTGCACTGGGAGGGCAGGCAGGCGGCCAGCTCAGCCAGGCAAGAGGTGCAATTACCATTAAAGCTAAGCAGGCTGGAGCAGGGGAGAGGAGAGGACTCCCCCTCCAAATGAATAGGTTTAATGCCACTCACATTCCTGCATTCCTCCACTGCCCTGTAGTGAATAAACCCTCACAACTGCTAAAAATGAGGCGGTTTCGGTTAAGCTGCGTGAGTGTGTGTGTGTTTTGTAACCTTACACCTTTGCAGACAGAGCCCTGCTATGTTTGTAATCTAGGAGCTGAGGTTTTCCAGAGCCAGCTCGTGTAACCAGGAGGAGACGTCAGCACATGACTATTTTATGGGAATAGGATCCCATCACAAGTGCGCAGTAATGGAATGGGAGCATGCAGAGGCACCTTGCTGTGCAGCACAGGTCCCTGACACACACACACACACAATGCCAATGCTGATCATGTTACACTCAAACCTTTTCACTACCTGTATAGGTTTAGCTACAGAGAATTCAGCATGGGTCTGGATGCACTAACAGTATTTGTTTGTTCACGCTTTTGCTGAAAAATGCAGTGGGTTTTTAACCAAAGGTCAGAATTCCCAACAATCCTGCCTTGCTCCTTTCCTATCTCCTCGTAATTCCCCAGCCCAACTTCAGAGCTCCCTTCTGTAGGTTTTGACCATGGTCAAAGGAGGGAGTTCATGGTCCCTTCTACCTTCTCTTCACCTCCATCAAAACACACACCCAGCTCTTCTCCTCACACATGACCCAGAAACTTCCCTCTCTACTTCAGTTCAAAATAATGTCTTGGGACATCTTTTGGATGCTCTTTCATCCAGCATCCAAATCCACTGCTGCCATCCAAGCTTTTATCTACCCATATCCCAGCCAACCCAACAACCCTTCCAGAAATGTAATATCTGTTTTCTCTATCCCCCTTCACCTTCTCAAAACTCCCCTCTTTCCCTCCCTCATCACACAAGAGCTCCTTAATGCTCAAGGCGTAACTCAGGTCCTACACTGTTACCTGCTGTTCACTCTTACAAAATCTACTTCTTTGCAAGCAGGTCTCCTGGGCCAATCAATATAAAACATGTTGACAGGAAATGATACTTTCTCCTTTCCTGCTCCCTTTCTTGTCTGGTAGGAATTCCCCTGATATCTGCCAAACAATCTCACAGACTTCATCAAAACTCTCTTTTGCCATGACATTTACAAGAAACCACACAGTAACTGTCCTGGTGTCCTGACATGCATCTGACAAGATGATCAATATCATCCTGGCATTTTCATTTTACACTCCCATCTGCATGTATTCAACCACATCCTTCTGTCACTGTTCCAGACCATGACCTCCTTGGGGGATGGACAGTCTTTGATTCACCATTTGTACAAGGTGAATGTTGGAGCACAGTTAATGCTCCTCTTGTCGCAGTGGCGTGAATAGCATGTTTAACACTTATCAAGGTCTGATATCCTTAGTACTATGTATGAATCCTACATTTACAGCACAGAAAACGGCCCAAAGATCCACTCACAAAATGTAGCCAGGAGACCACAAGCTACCTGATGGCATTTCACAGTGCAACAAGAGCCTGCCTATACTTTAGTCAGGTGCACTGTTGTTGCATCTGAGTATATAAAATGTCACATTTCTTCTCAATTAAATCACAGAACATTCCTATCTGTTGCTACGAACATTCCTCTTGGTAGCACAGAAGGCATCCTATGGCCAGGAACACGTCAGGCAGCTCTGACACTGGCAATTCAGCAAAGTGGCTTCACAAGGCTCTGTGGATGCTACTCTGCAGATGTACAGGCATCTTTGAAAAAAAACACATTCCTTGTGGATACGACTTTCCCTTGTCTATGTCTGTTCAGAAAGAGCTTACACAGCCAGTCCATCCGTAATGCTAAGGGGGATGATCATGCCCCACACTACTGCCAGTGCCACCAGCTCACTGCGTAATGAAAATCCAATAGTCATATGAGACATGCACTGCATCAATTTTTTCTTTATTTTTCATCCGTTATTTGAAGTTGATTTGAGCCAGCACGGAAAAAAGAGAAGCCAGGCAAAAGCCACAGAAAATGCACTAGACCTTAGAAATAGTGAGAGCTCTCTTACCATTTCTAGTGCTCCTTGCTGGGACTCAGCCCCCACCACTGCCAGCCTGCCCCTTGCAAGAGGGAATTGCTTTGCTTTCCCCCCGTCCCACACTAGAGCCTCAGACGGAAGGATTTTTCATGGCTCAAAACAAAAAATTTTGCAAACACACACACAAAAGTGTTTCTTGAGCTATACTGTGTTTTTCGTCTTGTAATCACCTGTCCTTTAAGAGCTTTTGGCCAGAGTTGCTCCAAAGATGAAATCACTTTTCTCTGAGAAACAACAGGATTTTGCTTAGTTGGACATAAACAACTCCCTCTGTTTTATTAACACAATGTTGTTAAATTGCAGGCATTTTCAGCATCACTGTGATTATAGCCATGCATGTTCTACACGCCCAGTGCTAGGTGCAGCCAAAGGCAAGGTCTAGGACTGAGATGAGCAGATGAAGCAAGAATTTCACAGAATCCTAGTGGGATACGTCTACCTATACAAATTTGGGCAGACCTCGGCATGTTCCACTTGTGCTAAGGTCAACTGGACTCAATTCAGCTTAAGACAAAAGCCATGGAGCCACATCAACACAATGCTCTGCCCAAGCTTGTATGTACGAGGTGCGTGCTCTGGGCAAATGGCAAGCAGACTTTCATCCTGTCTTCCACAACGGTTCCATGAGAATGGGAGGGTTATAAACCCACTATGGACCCACTAGGATCCAGAAATTCCATAACAGACATAACCAATAACTACTAGAAAAAAACAGATTTAAGTGTACATCACTGCCCCATTTGAATGGTGGCTTTCAAGCTAATTGCTTTGGGAACTTTACAGAGATCTGCATAGCATACCATACAAGTTCACAGAAAACAACTAAGAAAGGCAAGCTTATTGTCAGGAGGCTTCCTTTTCCTCGAGAGGAACTCACACTTCCACAAAACTAGATAAAAATATTTAGGAATCCATGAGGTGAGAATGGTGGAAAACCAGTTAAATGGTGTATTTGGAAGATATATAATGAAGGGAAATCCACTGTTGGGTGGCAACAGCTGCTTAAAACTCAACTCAACCCAACCCAAACCCCCACAACAACAATGACATCACTGCTATGGTTTGCAAGGAATAGTTTATTTAACAAAAGAAGAATTGTTCACAGGGAATTAAGTGAACTGAAATTTAGCCATCACAAAAATAAATGTGAAAGCACAAAAACTTTAAGATCCTAAGCGATCATCAAAAAGCAACGCCAACATGCATTTCTTATAGGAAGGAAAACAGCCATTTGCTGCACTGCCAGCTTCCCTGTGTACAGATGGCACCTGGACATGCACGATGAACCATCCCAGCAACCACCAGGCTCAATCGCGTTTAGCTTGAGTGCCTCAGCAAATACATGTGAAGAAAGCATACTTCTATATGTACATGGGTGACAAGACAACCACACACTGAAATAAAAGGAGATGATGTACTGGACTTTTTCCGTCTGTTGAAATAAAATTTATACCCTATGCTGTGCTTATCTGCGGAGGGTTTTAATTCATTTCAGTACAGCTTGAAGGGCTGTTCCAGTTTGGCAGAATGCTTGCAAGCAGCTCGTCCTAATGGAACAATTCTGATTTTCCCTAAGGATTTCAAGCTGCCTCAGATGAACAGTAAAAACTATTCTCAGGTATCAAACATATTTATTTTTTCTCTTTTCAGAAGGAAAAACATGTTTTGCTACTCCCTGCCTCTGCAAGAACAAGCCAGCTAAGAAAGAAGAGAAGACAGCCACTTAATCTAGGATAAGAGGAAAGGAATACATGCAAGAAGCTTTTAAAATTGCACAAAATGCACAAGTGGGAGAACACTTGTGAACAGTGAATGAAGACAAAAAACAAAACGCCCTTTGAAATGGTCTGCAGAAAGAGCTCCAGCATCAACCTGAATTAGGGACGCTATTCTCCCAGCTCAGTGCTCAACCTCGCAGTGTGCTGCGCATCCCACCCTGCGTGGCCCAGCAGCCAAGCCACTGTGAGACATGTGCCCCATGAGATGGCTCAAAGGTACAGTTTGGTGGCTTGCAGCTTGCACAGTGTCAGTGTGGTGATGCAGAACGAAGCCAAACTGATGAGTTTGGTGGAAAGACTTCATGAGGCACAGGCAACCAGCACCCAGGAATGCACAGCCCTGGGGCAGGGTGTGGGGACATTTTGGTAGGGACGAGTCAGAGCATGCAGCTCCATCGGGTCTAGGTAGGTTCTGATGGCTGGACTTGCTGGACTCTCATCCCACAGAGAAGCGCACATCTGACCTGGATCAAAAGCACTGTGGGGCCATCCCATGGTTCCAGGAAGAGGTTTAATGGTCATGAAACCCCAGTCTGCAAAGGAAATGGAGGTGGGAATTATCACAGTTCCCTGGAAGGAGGTTCACATGGAGGAGGAATGAGACTGTCAGTAGCTGCTGTGGTTGGTTTCCAATCCAGAATACTGGCAAATGGTGGGTGTAAAGAAATTACTGAGGCTCCAGTTTTGTGGTTTTCTGCTGTCTTCTGTATAATGCAAGTTTGAGTATTAAGACACACAAAAAAAACCCATAACAAAACAGCAAAACAACAACAAAAACAGCCAAAGTACAAAGTCATAGAATCATAGAAGTGATAAATGCCTCATGTTTCCAAGAAACAGTGCTCCCAAAATAAACCATGCACGGTCTCGTTGCTAACTCAACATTGCAAAGAAATTTATTCACCAGCCAGAAATGAAATAAATTCATTATTCCCCACACCTCTTTTACTCTTTACTTCTCAATGAGATGCTGACTTCAAAGGGCAGCAGGAGCCATTTGGATGCTAATAGCATCAAGCATCTGCAATCTAAGAAATAAACCCTTTCCTGGAATCCACACCCCCACCTAACCCACCCCCCTCCTCATGCTCTTTCACCCAGTGCTTGCAGATCCACCTTTCCCAGGGATGGCTCATGTATTTCAATATCCTTCTTTGGACTTTAACCCACCTAACTCCTCCTCTCCCCAGCTCCCTGCCCTGTAGGCACTGAAAACTGCCTGAGGCAGACCTCCATACACTTCAATGTTTGATTTTTCTATTTCCCTTCAATACTGTCATTGGAAATTGTTTTGGTGGAGTCACAGCTGGCTTAGTTACTGCTTCATCTATCTGAAAAATTACACAAGTATCCTGCAAGGCTGTGGAGGTGCATCATGCCAATCCAAAGTGCTCAGCACCTCATTCATATGCTCCCTGCTTGAGTTTCAGCCTCTGCTTCACCACTGAAGCCCTCTGCATCACTGCAAGCAGTTCTTGCTTGCTCCCAGCCCTAATTTCCCAGCTATTAGATGGGAGCAGCCAGACTGGAGCCTGTTGGTAGGGACAGGGTGAAGGCTGCACCCACGAGTCTCACCGGCGCTGATGCATTAGGAAGTGCCTGCAATGCCCAGCAAAACCATGCAGCTCCTCTTCAGCTGGACAGTGTCAGTGACTTCCATTACTGTAATTATACAAGGAAAGCAAGTAAAGGGGGGAGTTCATGGGCTGCCAGATCCATCAGACTCAGGTCTGCTCCCATGTTCTGTTTCTGGATCAAATGCAGCCACTGAGACCTAACACTTTTCACTCCCAGCAGCTTTGGCAGCTTTGTTGCTCTTCTGCAACATGACAATAGGGAAGAGCCTTGGATCCAACCTCAACCAACCTTCCCTTGCAAATTCATGTTAAAAAAAAAAGTGTATGGAGAGGTGCTGTGCAGCCTCAGCTGAAATGCAGCTATCTTAGCATGAGGAAGGAGCGAAGGTGGTCAGTGCTGAGCAGGAGGAGCACCCAGTGCTGAGAACCATGAGGTGCATAGAGACAAAGTGACATGCCCAGCACCCTTCTCATTCCCACATCATCCCCAGGAGGACTTTATTCGATGAGCTCCACCCCAGAGCAAAACTAACTGAAGGAAAAAAGTGGATTTAACTAATCCCCTTCACCAAAAGCTCTCAAAGAAGAAGCAAGTGGTAAATGTGGATCAATTCTGAACTTACAAAAGAAGAGGCTCAGTCACATTAAGCACGTCTTCCCTGCAGAGCTCACCCAAAAGCAGAGCTCACCCAAAAGCAGAGCACACCCATAGTTACATACATGCAGCAGAAATAAATGAAAAGAGGTTTCTCACTCCTTTAATCAGCCTCTAACTCCAGCTGCTCGGTAAAATGGGACAGCTGCTCAACAGGAGCCCTGTGTGAACAAGACGAAGGTGCAATGGGCATTTTTGTGGAAATCTTCCTTTTTACAACAAATGTACCTTTGAAATCAAAAGCAGCCCATGGGAAGACCCGGGGAAACCTGAGATAACAGCAGTCATTCAACTGACTGGTGTGATTTTCAACAAAGCAAAGGCAAAGCATTTAAACTCAGTAAAAGCACACCTTGAAAGTCGTAAGTGAACAAAAAGTTAAAGAAGCATGAAGCAGAAAAACTTAGTTATTAATGGAAACAGAAAAGGAAATGGAAAGCGAAATGGAGAAGGAAATGGAAAAAGGGGATGGCAGCTCTTCACCCAACGCACCACTGTTTTTAACAGGCCACAGGAGCATTTCAACACCTTCCTTCAAAAGACAACATTTATTTAACTTACACAAAACTGTGAGCTGGCACAGACTTGCTGTCCCCAAGCCTCTTCACAACTCCTTGTTTTGCCACACTAAATCCCAGCTTTTTGTGTGCAGGCGCCTCGTAGGAGGCTGTGGTGAGCGGCAGGGCTGGGGCTTCACCCCAGAAATGGCACTGTGAGGAAGGAATTCTTTACACAGAGAGTGATGAGGCACTGGGATGGTTGGCACAAAAAAAGCTGTGGATGCCCCATCTCCGGAGGCATTCAAGGCCAGGATGGATGGGGCCCTGGGCAGCCTGAGCTGGTGGGGGGCAGCCCTGCCCATGGCAGGAACTTGGTGTAGAGAACCTGCTTTGGCAGGGGGGTTGGACTCGATGATCTCTGGAGGTCCCTTCCAACCCCTACAATTCTGTAATTCTGTGATTCTGTGATGATTTTTAATGTCCCTTCCAACCTAAGCCATTTTATAATTTGACCACTTTCTGTAGAATCTTCCCGCTTAAACCATTCTCCGGGCTTTAAGTGCCACGGGGATGAGCACAAGCAGCCTGCTCCACATCACCAGACTGTTTGTGGTTTTAAGTTACATGCTTAAAGCAGAAAGGGGAAAATCTTCACTGAAAGACAGAAAAATTGGAGAATGAGCTGAAAGCCCACTGCATATTACCAACCAATTCGGAAAATGTCAAAATACGAGGTCTGCAAGGCTGTGAGTGCTAAAACAAAGTGAGAACACGATGCTGCTCATATCACCCCTTTCTAGACACCTGACAGGATAAATTCAGTCTCCCTCATGGCATGAACATAGTTTTGCACCAGCTGAGCCATGAAAGTCAGAGTAGGACGAGCCCTTCTCTGGGCCACCTGAAAGTGGAGAGCATCTCCTCCCTGCCCAGGGCTGCTACCAGGATGATGTAGCGGTTCCAGGGCAGCCTGAGGAGTTTCAACAGCTACTTCAAAAGTAGCTCACTTTGAGTGGCAGATAAACATGAAAAATACAAAATCAAGTTGTAAAGTACATTTAAATATCCTAAAACACAGGACATTGCAACACGGTATTTCAGCATCAACAAAGTGGGAAAAAGACGTCCACTCCCCCCATTCTTGTTTTCAGAACAGATCATCCACCTTATGAAATTAGAACAGTGCAAGCATTACCACTGACTGGCCTTCAACTCTGCAAACTGCTGAATCCCAGGACAGATGAACTGTGGATCTGCCACTCCCCTGCATGTACATGGACATCCTACCCTGTCGCATCCAATGCCACCCCATACCGTGCCATGCCATGCCATCCCCTGCTATCCCATCCCATGCCATGCTGTCTTGTCCCACCAATTCCATCCCACCTCACAGTATGCCTCCAGTCTCTGCACCTCACCCTGAAAGTCCTGCTGCTCTTTCCCACCCCCTTACCCACTCACCACAATAAAGCTGAGCGATTTTCAGCACAGATTCAGCAGTCCATATTTCCTGATGATTTTTGTGTTTATTACTGGCTGTGTATTTCTGGCTAAGTCAACAGCTACAGTCATTGCTATTACACGTTGTCCTCAGTCTGAGGGCTATTTTTGCCCATGGTAAAAGAAACTGCAGTTCCTTCTGATTAATTCCACAGAAATGTCCATTGCTCAGACAGGAGTCTGCAAAGCCGACTCAAACTAGTCACTGAATTACTTTAAAACAATTAATTTTCTGTGGATGAAGATCCTCTGGCAACCCAAAATATCCTTCCGAGGCTTTTATTCACTTTTCACATCATTTTTTGTTCTGTTTTTATTGTCACCATCAGATTTAATCACAAACAGACCAAAAACAGCCAAACCAGTCAGCCCATCATAGTGTAACTCCAAATAACAGTTTGTTCCACCTGAAGAAGGACCTACTCAATTCCAGAGTCAGTTCTGCACACACTTCAAGATTCACTTTGAAGGAACAGATGCCCACCAAGCAGATGCAGGACTTCAAGCAACCCCAAAGGTGCCCCATCCAGAAGACAATGAACAAAACAAGGTGATTTGGCAAGCAGGGTGCTTGGATGGCACATGCCATGCTGCAAGCACTGGATGTCCATCCTCACCAACAGGAAGTTTCATTATGTCACTGCAAGCCACCAGGACCCAAAGGACTCTGAATCAGACCTGGGGCATATAGAAAAAAGCCAAGCTTGCTAAGCAGAGATGCACAGTGCTCCTTCATGCACCTTTCTCTCAAACTTCATGAAATAAGAAAACAAGGCTTCTGGTATTTCCACCATCAGCAGGTACTTTATAGGAAAAAAAATGCCTGTCTTGATGCTTAAAAGTAGAAGCAGAGTCAGTGCAACCCCACAAAACTCCCCATGCAACACCAGAAATGCCTTTTCTTTTCCTTTCCCTTTTGTTGAAACATCATTTGAAGCAAAAGCCCTGAAATGCAGTAACCACAGAAAAGCAAATTACAAAGTGAGCACACAAAGCACATGATGACATTTAAAAGTGAGGTTGCTCTTACTCATTTGTATTTCAAAGGCCAGGTTGACACAAGACATTTTTCCTGTTATAGCTTTGTCTATTAAGGGAACAATAGATATTTTTTACTGTACAGCGTTAGCCAAAGCCTTCCTGTAGATGCAGCTGCAGTGACATTCAGATCTCGAGTGGAGAGCTCCGGGTCTGACCTGGGAAAGCCCTGCTAGGTCTGATAGAGCCCACACTAGTCTCAGAAGGCTTACTCATGTCCATACACTCATCGACCCTTCCGGAACGAGCTATGGCTTGGGTGACTATGAAGCTGAAAATGTTGAGCGTTTCCTTTCCTTCGGCAATTTCACACTGCTGAAACCTTTTCAGCTTCAGCAGATCTCTCACTGAAAAAGGTGACAATAAGTTAAAAACCTCAGGCTCAACGTTTTGACACCTCTGTGGCCTCCATCAAACTGTAAGGACTCCTTTCTTTACAGAAAAGAATATGTTTTGATGAAATCAACAGTAACAGCCCCAGTACTGAGGAAGAGGACCACAAGTGCTAATCTGATTAACCGGTGGCAAGCTGTGGTGCTCCTCAAAATAAGAGTCGCATCTTTCTGCAGTCCAGCATGTCCTGGTTTCTGCTGGGACATTTCTTCTGTTGCTGAGAGTGCTGCAGAGAGCCAGGGATGTTTCAGTTATTAGTTTCTTTGTACTGTCCTGCCAGTGAGGGGGGCTGCGGGGGCAGAAGGAGCTGGGTGGGGGCAGAACCAGGACAGCTGAGCTACACTGGCCAAAGGGATATTCCATACCATATGGCATCATGCAAAAAAAAAACAACTTGAAGAACAGTGGGGAGTTGGCTGGGGGGGTAGCAGCTGTTCAGGGGACTGGCTGAGCATCTGCCAGTGGGTGGTGAGCAATTAATTGTGTTGTGTATCGCTTGTTTTGTGGTTATTCACTATTATTTTTTTCCTTTTCCTTTTCTGTTTTATTTAATAGTTTTATCTTAACTAACAAGCTCTGCTTTGTGTTGTTGTTTTTTTTTTCTGATTTTCTCCCCCATCACACTGGGAAGGAGAGGTGAGAAAAAGGCTACGTGGAATTGAGCTGCCTGCCAGGTTAAACCACAACACAGTAACTTGATGTAAAATCAAGGTAAAATTGAACACACTAAGGCCCCTGTATGAGACTCTGATGCTCTGCTTAGACATAACACCTCCCTCAGCTGACAACCTCAAAACTGGTAGTCAGGGTACATATCAAATTTGGTTGTAATAATTTCATCCTTTTATCTTTCTTTTGTCTTGAAAGAACTAACTCTGCATGTCATACCACAAAACATACCTTTTAAAGTACCTATTCTCAGATTATCAAACTAGAAACTCCACAGCTTCTTGAAAACCTTTATTTTCCTACAACAAATACACTTGTCACAATTCAGCTGGGCTGGCATTTCACAGAATCACAGAATTGCAGGGGTTGGAAGGGACCTCCAGAGATCATCGAGTCCAACCCCCCTGCCAAAGCAGGTTCCCTACAGCAGGTCACACAGGTAGGCATCCAGGCAGGTCTTGAACATCTCCAGAGAAGGAGACTCCACCACCTCCCTGGGCAGCCTGTTCCAGTGCTCCGTCACCCTCACTGTAAAGAAGTTCTTGCGCATGTTTGTGCGGAACTTCCTATGCTGCAGTTTCCAGCCGTTTCCCCTTGTCCTATCTCCACACACAGCTGAAAAGAGTCCGGCCTCGCCATTCTGCCCCCCACACCTTAGATATTTATAGACCTGGATCACATCCCCTCTCAGTCTCCTTTTCTCAAGGCTGAACAGACCCAGTTCACTCAGCCTTTCTTCATAGGGGAGATGCTCCAGGCCTTTCACCATCTTCGTGGCCCTCCGCTGGACTCTTTCCAAGAGATCCCTGTCTTTTTTGTACTGGGGAGCCCAGAACTGGACGCAGTACTCCAGATGAGGCCTTCCCAGGGCAGAGTAGAGGGGGAGGATCACCTCCTTTGACCTGCTGGCCACGCTCTTTTTAATGCACCCCAGTAAGCCATTGGCCTTTTTGGCCACAAGGGCACACTGCTGGCTCATGGCCAACCTGTCATCCACCAGGACACCCAGGTCCCTTTCCGCAGAGCTCCCATCCAGCAGGTCATCCCCCAACCTGTACCGG